CCTTCAATTCGAAAAACGTGTTCTCTTTGTAGTGAGAAAATCCATCGGCTTCATTTGTGGTCAAAGTTTGAGAATTTATCCCCCTCAAATAGCTTTGCATTCGTAAAGTACAACGACCATTGCATAAATTGTTTAATAAAGGAGCATAAACTAGTAAATTGTACTAGTAAAAATAGTTGTTGGAAATGTGATCAACGTCATCACACGTTACTACATCGTTTCCGGTTCTGACTCCAAAGGCTTTGTCAAGCGCAGAAAAATCGTTGTTGTCAGTTTCGGCCTCAGTTTTTCGTTCTCGAAATGTATATCCTACACATCGGTTGAAATCGAAAATTCAAAATCTAAATTTGTTCGTTCGAAATCACTACGCCAAACGTCAAAAGAGAACTTAATTAAATTTATAAAAACAAATTTATTGGATGAAAATCATAAAAAGAAATTAATTCATCTGCGGCTTCAAAATACTACATTTCGTGTACTAATATAGCTGGATTGAAGTCAGAATCTATTGCTGCAGATTCGCCTGCGGCTTCATATTATCGTTGTAGCGGAGATGGATCCCAAATCTGTTACTGCAGATTCATCTGCGTTTCCATTCCCTACATATTGTTCGAAAAAGCTCTCACTGCACTATGCATCCCGTACCTACTATTGCAACGAAATTAGATTAAGTTTAATTGTGTTGAAATATGCTTTAATTTAGAATTACATTAAATATAGCATTTTATTGTTATTACATTAAATATAGCTAGTTTGGTCCTCAATTATTCGTTAAAATGTACGCGCTACGGTTTATTGCAACCTTGTGCTAGCGCCTTTGACATTTTAGCGAGTAATCAGTTGTCACTTGTTTTGCCGCCTCCTTTAGACATCAAGTAGTATTTCGCTGTCATTCGGACAGACAACACAAGCAATATCGTTTGCAAGCACATATCGTTGTGCAAGTCGCAAGTAGTAGGTTTTGCTTGTATTTTAAAAGTAACTCTTCAAGACTATCGAGTGCAAAGTGCTATACACTCACCAGGAATCAACTGTTTGTGTGGTGGTACACATCTCACTGTATCTTAACGAGTTTAATTAGTACTTCTCAATAAATGTTCTGTTCCCGAAAATAGAAAACAATATATATATATATATATATATATATATATATATATATATATATATATATATATATATATATATATATATATATATGTATATATATATATATACAACCACCTCTATTTGCTTTCGTTCTTCTATTTGCTTTTTCAATTCGTTTAAGTAAATCTTCCGACCGTAAATAAAGAACTTTGGATACAAGAGAGAAAAATGTTGAGGCATTGTATTGGAAAAAAACTTTGGAACTTCCAATAAAAGGTATATCTTCTATATATATAAAAGAAAGTTGTGTTAGTTACTACGCTTATAACTTAAGAACCGCTGGACCGATTTTAACAATTCATACAAATTCGGAATTGTCTCCTGTCCGAAAAGGATAATGATAATATAATATATTAACATTTTCATTTTGACTTTTGGAATGTACAATAGTAATATTTTATTTTGTATGATTTTTTTTTTTTCATTTTGACTTACTTTTTTCTAATGTACATTTGTACTGTTTTTTATAATTTAATTTTTGAATTCGAATATTAACAACAATTTATTTAATTGACTTGATTTCTTTAGAACTGAAATTGATGTCGGGTTACATGGAAGTATAGTACCGAATTATGTGGTGGCGAAACGGAATAGATGATATCGAAATAATTTAACACGATCACACCAAAGTTAGAAGATAATTACTTTTTCAAAATCGCTAAAAAATCACGAAAAAAGAGATCTCATTGCAAAAATTCTCAAATAGGGAAAAAATTGAAAAAAAATGTGAATGGAATCGAATTTTAAAATAATAGTACATTCTATTAACAAACTTTGTAAGGATCTTTAAACATTTGTTGTAAAAAACAGAGAACAAGTTGAAGATTTTTTCAATTTGTTATTCTTCTTTTGTCAATTTTTTTCAATTTGTATTATTATATTGAATTCAGTAGATTTTTTGGGAACAAAATAAAGAATATTTTTTTCACTATATACAATTTTTCAACAAAAAAAATGAAATAAGTGCGAAATAGTATATTAACTGACATCTACCCTTAAACTCCAGGGCCTACATCGTGGTTCAGCTGGAAAATTTGAACACATTTAAACAACCAAAAATGACCGAAAAAGTCTAATGGGGCTCATGTCAAAACATGGTCCTGCTTCTTTCATGTGACAATAATTCGTCCAATGGGAGCCCAAAATCCAAATTCTTTGGGAGTACAATCAGTAAAATACAAAATTTAAAGGGTGCAAAATAGTAGAGTGAAGGGTACTTTTAGTAAGAAAAGGATTTATATCCTTCCAGAAATTCTTCCCAAACATTCAAGATACCTTAAATCGCTTTTGCATGTCTTGATATCGATCATACCTCACGGATAAGGGTACAACCCTATTTCATATTTATATAACCATCTATGATTTAAGCTATTTTTGGGGGCTTGGCCACTTTTTTTTCATTTTTTTGGCCCTTATTTGGCATTTTTGTTTCTAAGGGGGTAGAGAGCCTCTTCGCATAAAATTTAACATTTTTAGAGTAGGGCCAATATTGGTCTTGAACACATTCATCAATTGATTTGGCTAAAAAATTTTATTTATGCTACCCTGGTGTAGGGAACCATCATATAGATAATTGCCACATAGGAATTTATTTAAGTAAAGCCCCCACATTGGAGTATCCCCAAGTCCACTTTCACATCTAATGTGTGGTCAGAAAAGAAAATTTTGTATTCTATTGATTTTGTAACCCCCAAGAGAATATTGGTTGGGCTCTCATATGAATGTATCCCTGATTCCAGCTATAACTGTGGTCTTGGCCACGTTTTTCGACTGATTTGGCCATTATTTGGCATCTTGGCTTTTCTATTTCGAGGGTCTTGACCACATATTCCAATCGATTTTGCTGTATTTAGGGTACTTTGTGAGTAGAGAACCATCTTACAGAAAAATGTCAACATACGTAAATATTTTGGTACAGTCCCCATATAGTCCCCAGGGCCGCCGGTCTATAGTGATTTTTACCGATTGGCGGACGATAACACGGGCATTGTTTAATCGTCATTGAATTTTACTATGAACACTATTTACTATTGGGGAGGCTAATGCGCAATTTGAGGTGCTATGGCAATGGGTCCTTCCATAGGTATTTATTTATATATTTAGTATATATATATATGTATATATATATATATATATATATATATATATATATATATATATATATATATATATATATATATATATATATATATATATATATATATATATATATATATATATATATATATATATATATATATATATATATATATAGATATATATATATATATATATATATATATATATATATATATATATATGTATATATATATACATATATATATATACAACCACCACTAAAACAACCACTAAAATGCTGAATATAGTATTTCGCTGTCATTCGGACAGACAACACAAGCAATATCGTTTGCAAGCACATATCGTTGTGCAACCTCTACGTTGTAATTAGTGCACCATGGATGCAATACTGAATATCGCATAATATCCAAGTAAGTTATTAATCATTATGATTAAAAAACAGGTTAAACTTGTGCTGTTTTAAGTCGCAAGTAGTAGGTTTTGCTTGTATTTTAAAAGTAACTCTTCAAGACTATCGAGTGCAAAGTGCTATACACTCACCAGGAATCAACTGTTTGTGTTGTGGCACACATCTCACTGTATCTTAACGAGTTTAATTAGTACTTCTCAATAAATGTTCTGTTCCCGAAAATAGAAAACAATTTAAAGACGAAGTAACATTTATATATATATATATATATATATATATATATATATATATATATATATAAATGTTACTTCGTCTTTAAATTGTTTTCTATTTTCTTTTATATATATATATATATATATATATATATATATATATATATATATATATATATATATATATTGTAGTAGATTTGTTTAGAATGACATCATTGTCAAAATACAACTATGAATATGATTGCCGACTATCAACTAGATCATAAGATTCAAATGTAGCGAAAAACGAATGATGATGAAAGAATAAAGAAGACGCGATCAAGAAGTTAACAACTCAGGTGTGGACGAACAACGCCCTTTGAAAAGGACGCTCAACAAAAGTTTAATAAGAAAAGTTTAATTCTTAAACCATTTCTGAGAAAATAAAACTTACGAAATTAATTAAAACTTAAGAATAACTTGAAAAAAAAAAAACTTAAGAAAATAAAACAAACTTAAGAAAATAAAACAAGCTTAAGGAAATAAAACAGACTCAACCTAAAAGAAAAGCTTTGTGAAAAAACGAAAAAGACAACATGGTACGGGAGGAAATTATGGCTCAGCTGCAAGAATTGGGAATTAGTTTCCCAGACACTGCCACCATATCACAGCTAAGGGAGTTGCTCCGTGATGTCGTTGGGGCAAGCGTGCCGTCGCCTCAAGCCAGTAAGTCGACAGCGCTAGCAGAGACCCAAACGGAAGCAGAAGAAACCGACACTCAACAACTGGAAAGACAACTCGAAGCAAAATTAAAAATATTGAAGTTGCAAAAGCAGATAGCTGAGCTGGAGGAGCCAAAATTAAAAGCTGCAGCAAATTTTGGAGATGTTGAAGGTGTGCTTCCCAAATTTACAGGCGATGACGATTATGCCGTTACAAAATGGGTAAAGGAATTTGAGCGCGTCACCAACATAGTAGGCTGCACTGCTGCAGAAAAGTTTTTGTTCGCACGCCGCATGATGGCGGGTAGTGCATGCCTATTTATGCGCAACTCAAACGCAAATAACTGGGACAGTTTTAAGCAAGATTTGTGTAATGAGTTCAAGAAAGTAATCGGCACAAAGGACATTTTTAAGAGATTAAAAAATCGTGTGTGGAATAAAAATTTGGAAAAACTACACAGCTATGTGTTAACAATGCAACAAATTGCTGATGACGCCCCAATAAGTGAAGCGGAGTTGGTCGAATGTATCCTTGAGGGGCTGAGGGACAAAACATCCGCTATTTCTATCTTTTATCCTGCGAAGACTGTGGCCGAGCTAAAAAATTTAATTCCCAGGTATGAAAAAATATTGGATGGCAGGAAAATTAATAAAACCACAAGCGAGAACCAAACGACAACTTTGACCACGGTGCGCTGTTATAACTGTTCGGAGTATGGCCACTATGCATCAAGTTGCACGAGAGAAAAGCGACAACACGGGTCCTGTTTCAAATGTGGAAAGTTCGGGCATCTAAGGACACAATGCCCCCTGAGAGCAGTTGCTGCCGTTCCGGATCAAGCTGTTAACTGGAATTTAAAGGTAAGAGTAGCTCTAGGTCCCCAACTATCTGAGTCTAATTTTTGTTTTATAAATTCCTTACTTGATACTGGCAGTCCGTGTAGCTTTGTTAAGAGAGCGGTTATTCAATCGTTGTGGCCGAACGTGAGAATTGCTGAGGGAAGAATTTCTGAATATAAAGGGCTGGACGGGACGAATTTGAAGACTTGTGAAAAAAGTGAATTTAAATATTTTGATTAATTCGCCTTGCGACTTGGTGCTAGGCAGAGATTTTTTAGATTTATTTTCAATAGTTTTATGTTTTAAAAACGGGAAGCCGGATCCCAATGAATTGATAAAAAATGCCGGTAATAATTGTTGTACATTATTTTCGTGTTCGGATCTAAAAAATGAATTAAACGCAGAACCGACAGAAATAAAGTATGAAATGGAAACAAATGTGTGTGATGCTTATTCGGGGTTACATGAGGGGAAAAATAAAGAGATACATGATGCGTTCCAGACAATTTGTAATATTGAGGTTCAAGACGAAAGGGAAGATGTGGACATTAACCATATGGTAGGATTGCAGATGAGTGACAAAATTCGTACAATAATTTACAGGAATTATTTTCAAAAATTGGGAGCAAACCCAGAATCTTCTGATTTCAAGGCATCTATTTTGGTGAATTCTGGCAATACCACTTATTGCGCACCTAGGAGATTATCTTTTGCAGAGAAGCAAGAAGTCAATAAAATAATTTCAGATTTGCTGGAAAAGGGAATTATACGGCACAGTAATTCTCCGTATGCATCCCCTATAGTTTTAACGAAGAAGAAAAATGGAGAAAGGAGAATGTGCATTGATTATAGAGCATTGAATAAGATTATAGTTAGGGATAATTATCCTATTCCACTAATAGAGGATTGTTTGGAGCATTTGGAAGGAAAGTCGTGGTTTTCAATAATGGACCTGAAGTCTGGATTTTACCAGGTCAGACTGGAAGAGAATTCCGTAAAATACACTTAATTTGTAGTTCCGAATGGACAATACGAGTTTTTAAGACTGCCTTTTGGCTTAAAAAATGGACCGGCTATATTTCAGCGATTTATTGCTGGAATTTTTAGAGATTTCTTGGACAGAAATGATATAGTGATTTACATGGATGACATAGTGGTCGCGTCGAAAACCTTAGAAGAGCACATAATACTGTTAGAAAAAATTTTAGACCGCCTAGCCACGTACGGATTGAAACTTAAGATGCAAAAATGCAAATTTGCGTACTCGGAGATAGAATACTTAGGTTATAAGGTATCCAATCACGGGATTGAACCTTCGGAAGGACATATAGAAGCTATTAAGACATATCCAGAGCCAAGGAATAGGAAGGAAATGCAAGCATTTGTAGGTCTCTGCTCTTATTTTAGAAAATTTGTCAAGGGATTTTCCCTAATAGCAAAGCCATTGTATGATCTCACAAAGGAAAATGTGGAATATGTGTTTTCGAACCAATGTAGGCAAGCTTTCGATATCCTGAAAGGCTATTTGACTTCTAGCCCTGTGTTGGCGATTTATAGCCCTCGAAGAGAAACAGAACTGCACTGTGATGCAAGCGCTGCGGGTTTTGGTTCTATCCTAATGCAAAAACAGGAAGACGGTCTGTTTCACCCAATTGCGTATTTTTCAAAAAGGACAACAGAAGCCGAGACACGTTACCACAGTTTTGAGTTAGAAACATTAGCCATCATATATTCTTTAAGAAGGTTTAGGGCCTATTTAGAGGGAATCCAGTTCAAAATTGTCACAGATTGCAATTCACTTACTCTGACATTGGCCAAAAGGAACTTTAATAGCCGAATTGCAAGGTGGGCACTAGAACTTGAGAATTATAGTTATAATATTGTACATAGACCAGGATCGAGAATGAACCATGTGGACGCCCTATCAAGAGTAGATCACGATTTTAATAATATGGTCGCAACAATTGAGGCTGAAGACATTGACTTCCAGCTTTGTGCAACACAGAGTAGAGATAAAGACATTAGTGAATTGAAACTAAAATTAGAGGAGGGAACCGTGGATGGTTACGATATGGTGAATGGTGTAGTTTATAAAAGCGGTAATGATGGTTTACGATTTTACGTTCCGAGGGAGATGGAGAACGAGGTAATTAGGAATGTTCACGAGAAGATAGGGCATATGGGTGTTGACAAGTGTTATTTAAAAATGAGAGACAATTATTGGTTCCCTGACATGAAGAAAAAGATAGAGAGATATCGGAAAAATTGTTTGAAGTGTATTATGTATTCTGCTCCCCAGAGACCCAATGCGAGGACACTACATAGTATTCCAAAAGAACCTAAACCTTTTCATACAATTCATTTGGCTCATTTAGTCCCATTACCTTCATTACAGTCGAAACGTAAACATATCTTAGTTGTTATAGATGCGTTTACAAAATTTGTAAGATTGTATCCTGTCCTTACAACAAGCACCAAGGAAGTCAAGGCAGCACTGTCGAAATATTTTGATTATTATAGTAGACCAGTCAGGTGTATTACGGATCGGGGAAGTTGTTTCACGTCAAAAGAATTTATAGAGTATCTGACAGAAAGAAATATAGACCAGGTCAAGGTAGCCGTGCATTCACCTCAGGCAAACGGTCAAGTTGAACGAGTGAATAGGACATTGGTGGGAATGTTAGCAAAACTCAGTGAACCGGTAACACACGCGGACTGGGTCAAACATTTAAGCAAGGTGGAATTTGCATTTAATAATACAGTGAATAGATCGATTGGAGATACGCCAAGTATGGTTTTGTTTGGAGTAAATCAAAGAGGGGAGGTAATAGATAAGTTAACAGAATACCTAGAGGAGAACTTTTTGGACCCGGGGAAGGGTATTCAGGACATAAGAGACAAGGCAGAGGCTGCAATTGCAAGGTCGCAAGCATATAGCGAGCAACGTTCTAAGGCAAAAGGGGCTGTGGTAAATTCATTTAAAGCAGGTGACTTTGTAGTGATACGGAATGTGGATACTACGATAGGGACTAATAAGAAGTTAGTGCCGAAATATAAAGGGCCTTATGTAGTGAGTAAAGTACTTCCGAATGACCGATACGTAATAAAAGATATTGAAAACTGCCAGATCACACAAATACCTTATGATGGAGTAATTGAAGCCTGTAATATAAGGCGTTGGAAATCTGAAGACTCGGTAGGGGCACCTAGGGCTGCTCTTACCAGTATTGTATTATATTGTATATAGTAGAATGTAAGTAGTATAATTAGTAGGTGACCGGGTCGGTCACAACCGTCAGGTTGGCCGAGCTGTAGTAGATTTGTTTAGAATGACATCATTGTCAAAATACAACTATGAATATGATTACCGACTATCAACTAGATCATAAGATTCAAATGTAACGAAAAACGAATGATGATGAAAGAATAAAGAAGACGCCATTCTAGTGAAGGCGATCAAGAAGTTAACAATATATATATATATATATATATATATATATATATATATATATATATATATATATATATATATATGCGCATTAGCCTCCCCAATAGTAAATAGTGTTCATAGTAAAATTCAATGACGATTAAACAATGCCCGTGTTATCGTCCGCCAATCGGTAAAAATCACTATAGACCGGCGGCCCTGGGGACTATATGGGGACTGTACCAAAATATTTACGTATGTTGACATTTTTCTGTAAGATGGTTCTCTACTCACAAAGTAGCCTAAATACAGCAAAATCGATTGGAATATGTGGTCAAGACCCTCGAAATAGAAAAGCCAAGATGCCAAATAATGGCCAAATCAGTCGAAAAACGTGGCCAAGACCACAGTTATAGCTGGAATCAGGGATACATTCATATGAGGGCCCAACCAATATTCTCTTGGGGGTTACAAAATCAATAGAATACAAAATTTTCTTTTCTGACCACACATTAGATGTGAAAGTGGACTTGGGGATACTTCAATGTGGGGGCTTTACTTAAATAAATTCCTATGTGGCAATTATCTATATGATGGTTCCCTACACCAGGGTAGCATAAATAAAATTTTTTAGCCAAATCAATTGATGAATGTGCGAAGAGGCTCTCTACCCCCTTAGAAACAAAAATGCCAAATAAGGGCCAAAAAAATGAAAAAAAAGTGGCCAAGCCCCCAAAAATAGCTTAAATCATAGATGGTTATATAAATATGAAATAGGGTTGTACCCTTATCCGTGAGTTATGATCGATATCAAGACATGCAAAAGCGATTTAAGGTATCTTGAATGTTTGGGAAGAATTTCTGGAAGGATATAAATCCTTTTCTTACTAAAAGTCCCCTTCACTCTACTATTTTGCACCCTTTAAATTTTGTATTTTACTGATTGTACTCCCAAAGAATTTGGATTTTGGGCTCCCATTGGACGAATTATTGTCACATGAAAGAAGTAGGACCATGTTTTGACATGAGCCCCATTAGACTTTTTCGGTCATTTTTGGTTGTTTAAATGTGTTAAAATTTTCCAGCTGAACCACGATGTAGGCCCTGGAGTTTAAGGGTAGATGTCAGTTAATATACTATTTCGCACTTATTTCATTTTTTTTGGTGAAAAAATTGTATATAGTGAAAAAATTATTCTTTATTTTGTTCCCAAAAAATCTACTGAATTCAATATAATAATACAAATTGAAAAAAATTGACAAAAGAAGAATAACAAATTGAAAAAATCTTCAACTTGTTCTCTGTTTTTTACAACAAATGTTTAAAGATCCTTACAAAGTTTGTTAATAGAATGTACTATTATTTTAAAATTCGATTCCATTCAAATTTTTTTTCAATTTTTTCCCTATTTGAGAATTTTTGCAATGAGATCTCTTTTTTCGTGATTTTTTAGCGATTTTGAAAAAGTAATTATCTTCTAACTTTGGTGTGATCGTGTTAAATTATTTCGATATCATCTATTCCGTTTCGCCACCACATAATTCGGTACTATACTTCCATGTAACCCGACATCAATTTCAGTTCTAAAGAAATCAAGTCAATTAAATAAATTGTTGTTAATATTCGAATTCAAAAATTAAATTATAAAAAACAGTACAAATGTACATTAGAAAAAAGTAAGTCAAAATGAAAAAAAAAAAAAAAAATCATACAAAATAAAATATTACTATTGTACATTCCAAAAGTCAAAATGAAAATGTTAATATATTATATTATCATTATCC